GAGAGGAATTTCAGGATTTTCCAAGGACGTGCACGTGATTCTGACACTCTTTTTCGTGCACTAAAAATCAGTTTATACTCTAAGCTACTGAATGTAAATATTCCAATTCATGTAAAGGAACACATAGAGAGATTGGCATGAGAGACTGGAGCTAATTCAGGCTCTGATTGCTATTTAGGAATATGTAATTCATTTTCATACTTGGTAATGAATAAAAATTTTCATTGACCAAAAAAAACTTAAAAATAAAAATTTGACCCAAAGTTGTACCACTTAGAGCAATTTATTTGGGGTTAACAAACACGGCCATAGACTGAATAGGATAAATACTCACTTTGGTAATATTTAGCTCAATTCAAATTAAACGCCGGCCACTTGCGGTGAGAGAAAGGACTACGTTCACATGGGTAGCACCAATGGGAAATGCACAGGGAATGAGACGTGCCCAAATTAATGTGAACTTGGGGACCCTAGGCCCTATCTCTCGCACGTGTCAACCTACTAATGAGGACAAAACCATTTATGTCAGAACTTTTCCCCCCGTCCAATCAAAATGAAAGAAGCGCGTGCTCTCAAGTTAGTAACTATACCCCCACCCGCTCACATCAACGACAAAACGGAGGCGGCTTGTTATAGTAAGTTTCATCTTGATAAGCTCCCCCGCCTTTTTGTCACTTGCTCATAGTAAGTTTCATCTTTGATAAGTTCCTCCCCCTTTTGTCACTTGCTCTTGTTGATGTATAAAGCTTTTATTGTTTAAGAGAGAAGTGGAGATGGTTAAGGTATTACTTTCAAGTACTTTGACGTTGGGTTCGTGTCCTGTTATCCTTCATGGCAGTGTTTCAAGAGAAGTTCTCTTCGATGAAATGACCGATACTTACGTGAAGGAGAGAACAACATGTTGGGGAAATTAAGTCCCCCCTGCATGCTAAGAGCTCCGCAGAAACCAACACACAATCAACAAAATAGAAAGCAACTACAATAAAAAAAAAGAACACCGAGATTTACGTGGTTCAGTCGACCAACTTTGACCTACGTTCACGAGCAACAATATGAGAAATTTACTATGTATTAGGGAGAACTACAAGAGTAACCACCCAACTATCGTCTCTCAATCTCTCAACCTCACATATACAATCAACTATCATATTATCTCCAAAGCCCTCTCCTTATAATCTTTTGAACGGACAAAGATTGTGAAACCCTCTCCCAATGATGTAATCTTTTACACTGACAAAAACTACGAAACCCTCTTACAATGATGTAACTTTTTGCACGGACAAATACTACGAAACCCTCGCCTCGCACAATATTCTTGAATCTGGTTTCGTCCTCTACTAACCCTAGATTACAAGAATATTGGCTCTCTCTCATCCACTTGGTTTTTTCTCCAACAATAGAAGAATATATATAGGGAAATCAAAATCATATCTCTAGCCTAACTTCCTAATTAGAATAGGATTCAAACTCCTAATCATGATGAGACATAATTTTCTAATCATGATATATTTCTGACATTATCTAATTCTCATGAAGTTATAGAAAGAATCAAAGACACAATCCCAACAATCTCCATCTTAGATTTGATTCTCAAACTCCCTTAAAGATATATCATCGCCGTCTTGAAACTTTGTCTCTCCTGTTAGAGTCTTCTATTCTTTTACACTTCAAATCGAAGCACCTACACCCCAACTGAGACGTCCTGTGACCATAGCTATCATCTGCTTTGTCGTGACATATCTACCTCTCTTGTGTGCACTGTGGAGAATTCAGGAAATTCTAGATTTTGGTCCAGATTTTGCAGATTATGTGTCATAAGTCGACTCATGCACATGCATGAGTTGACTTATGGTAAGTCGACTTATACTTGTGCATAAGTCGACTTATGTTCTGTTCTGGAATTGTTGTTTTGGGCTCTAACAAGTCGACTTATCAGTACTGTTAAGTCGACTTACGATATGTTCTCCAGTTGGTATTTTTCGCTCTGCCAAGTCGACTTATGACCCCTATTAAGTTGACTTATAGCGGGTTTTTTTGCACAGTTTGAGTTTCTATTTGGATTCTGTTTGGGTTTCTGTTTTGATATAAATAGGAATATAATTTTGAGGGTTTGTAGGACTTGTTGTGGGGATGTTTGGAGCGTAGAAAAAGGTATTTTCTGAGCTATTAGTTAGGGTTTTATTTAGAGAGAATTAGAGATTTGTTGGTGAGATTAATTGGTGAGTTCGAGTGATTTGTAATCTTAATTTGTACTCTTCTTCTCTATTAATGAAAACGCGACCCCCTTCTTGCCCCATGGATGTAGGCAACTTGTCGAACCACATTAAAATTGGTTGTTTGTGGTTGTGCCGTTATATTGGTTTGTTTGGCCTTCTCTCGGCGTTTGTTTGGTTTGGTTTATCAAAGCACATAGGTTTGGTGGCTTCCGCATGCACAATAATTGGTATCAAAACTTGGGCTACGTTTGGGCTAATTAGAGGAGTAGATCGCTTTGGAAGTTTGTCTAGGACTGTAGTTGGTGATAAATGTAGGATTTTTCCTATTTGTGAATCTCGTTTCCGTCATGTGGAGTGAGATCTTTCGGAGGCCCTTGTTAGGGTTTTAGTTAGAGATAAAAATCTCTCTTTTTTAGTTTGGATCTATTCTTCGTTTGCTCCACATTATTTTGTTGGTGCTTTGAGAAAGATGGTCGAGAAAGGAGTTGTGGAGGGTACTTCCGGTGTGAAGACTGACTAAAGTTTGAATATCCACTCTATGAAGATAAATATAGAGAAGTTTAATGACACAAATAATTTTAATTTTTGGAGATGTGAAGTCTTGAATGCGCTCAACGCGTAAAATTTAGAAGATACATTAGAGTTGGACGAAAAACCGGACGACATTGAGGAGAAGATTTAGAAAAAGATGAATAGAACGGCATGTGGTGTGATTAGATCTTATTTAAGTCAAGATTTGAAATATGATGTGATCAATGAGACTTCGGCTAAGAAAATTTGGGAGATCCTAGAGAGTAAGTATTTGACGAAGAGTGTGGAAAATCACTTGCTTTTGAAGAGGATGCTTTATCGCTTTCAATTGAAGAAAGGAACCTCCATTAGTGATCACATAAACCACTACACAAAGCTTCTTACGGATTTGACGAATGTAGATGTAATGATTGAAGATGATGACAATGCGTTGTTATTGTTGAGTTCCTTATCCGACGAGGAATATGAGACCTTTGTTCTTATTCTTATTAATGAGAAGGCATCTCTTTCGCATAGTAAGATCACCACTGCATTTGTGAATTATCAGCTTCGAAAGAAGGGTAAGGAGATTTCAGTTGAGCCGGTAACGGAGGCATTGGTCGTAAGAGCAAATAGTCCAAACCATGGTAGGAGATCGCAGTCTAGAGGGGTACATCCTGGAGTTCGTAAGAATCAGTGTGCCTTTTATAAAGAGGATGGACATTAGAAAGCCGAATGCCCAAAGTTAACAGATCGAGCCGGGAAGAATACGAGAAAAGCTATTCAAGTTTCAGAGGTGAATGTTGTCAAGACTAGTGGCAACAATTCAAATTTGGATTCTTCGGCCTACTCATTAGCACTATCGTCAGTTTGTGTTTCCGACTCTAGATGTTGGATTCAGGTGTCTCTCACCATATTTGCCCTAGGAGGGATTGGTTCTATAGTTTTTAGGAGTTAGAAAGAGGGGATGTTGTGCTCATGGGTAATAATCATGAATGCCCTATTGATAGTATCAGTACCGTTCGTATTAGGATGTGTGAGAGTTGGTTCCTTAGTTAAAGAAGAACATCGTATTAGGATGAAGTAAGGTTCGTTCCTTAGTTAAAGAACATCATTTTACTTGGAGTTTTGGAGTCAACATGCTATCGGGTGACCTTAGAGGATGCATTTTTGAAGGTCACATTTGGGTCCATGATTATGATGAAGGGTGTCAGGAAGAAGAATTGTATTATTTGATTATAAGCACGGTGATTGGTAGAGAGCTGATGACTTCTTTGGATTTGGTTAGACTGTGGTATTTGTTGAGGCTGAGATATTTGATTGGTTATGCCATGTATGGTTATTGAGGAGTGCTTTGACCTACAGATTGAAGTCTTTGAGCACATTAGTATGAGTAAGAAGACCGAGATGGAGTTTAGCACTTCTATCCATCGATCGATGGGTCTTTTAGGTGATGTTCATTCAGGCATTTAGGGGCACTACCAAATAATGGGTCTACGGGGACGGTTTATAACCGTCCCGCTAGACAATAAAACCGTTCTCATAGGCCTAAGGGAACAGTTACTCATCCGATGCCTTTGTCGCCGTAGTGCTTGGTCTAAGGGGACGGTTCATGATCCAAGTAGCGCGGTTTTTGAACTGTTCCCATTTATAACATTTGGGGACGGTTTACCTATGGGGACAGTTAATATTTTTGCAGATAGTGACGGTTATTTGGCAACAGGAACGGTTTTAATTTTAAGCTACCGTGACGCTTACACACCAGGGGGACGGTTTCGAGCTTGACCTAGGAGGATGGTTATATTGTCTATGGGAACGGTTTTGTTTGTGATCTACGAGGATAGTTTTTATACCAAAGAAGACAGTTAGCTATAGGGACGGTTTTTAGCAATGGGGACGGTTTTCGGATGTAAATATATGGGACAGATATATATAGCAATGGGGACGGTTTTCAATTTTAACCGTGCAAAACCAAATCATCCAAATATATCACACATTTTTAACCCGCAGTTTCAAAATTAAAAAAGAACAAAACAAAATGAAAACTCCATGATTTATACCTGCTCATGTTACAAACAAAGAAATAAAACTCCAAATTTTGCAAGCAAATTAACAACCAAACATAAGGAACAATTTATTCGATCATTACAATGACTTTAGTACAAGTTTTTTCTTTTGTCCGAAGTACATGACTAAAATTCCTCTTTCATTAAAACAAAAATCATCTTCTGTTTAACTAAAAGGTCTCCATTGGTATACATAATTTGTAAATTGTCAAGATAAAGTTAATCCCACAGCAGGTGATTTTAAATTACTCTGATCTTTGATGTGTTCCTCATCATACTCATGATTATGACGTTTGAACTCTGCCACAGAGTTTTGCAACTCTTTAACCAATTCTTCTGTCGGATACTGCAACAAAATCAACCCTCAGTACCTCATCAACACTTTAAAACATGTATTCAATGATTACAAATAAGGAATTAAAAAAAGATTTTCTCTATGGAAAAGGCTACCTCAAAATTTAATTGCCCACTTAAAATAAAGTGCAAGATCAAAAAATATGAAGCACAAAAGAGTTCAATAAAAACAAAAACATATTTTATATCAATAGATTTTAAGGAAAATGCTCCAAATTTGGTTTGAAATTTAATTGCCTCATAATTCTTTATATAGATAAGAACTAAGAACTAGAAATAGTTTCCTTTTGAAGGTGGGAGAAGTATAGTTACATTTCACTATAGAGTTAATGAACTCGAGTGTTGCTAGGAGGACCCAAAAATGGGACAGATCCATGGGACAGATGACATGGCGAATACAACTGGAAATATTAATTAGCTGCAAAATAATGAGTTGGAAATATTAATTGCAATTTGTTCAACTTCTTTGCATCTCTCGAATACTGCTTCTTGAACCTAGGAAACACTTACATGAAGCTACTAGCAACCCGAAGTTAGAGAAAACATCCTTCATTCCAGTACCATGTCTTGCATAGCCATGTTTTGAAAGTTATCAGCTTATAAAAAATTATGGTATGATTATAGTAACTTTAAAGATACATATATCTAAGGAAAAAAATAAAAAGATGAAACTAACCTGATTTAGGGTGCTGCATCCAGGAAGGAGCTTTTCAGCAAGAGAGTCCTCCAATTTGGGTAGTTCTCTATAAAAGAGTTATTTGCACACAACCTAAAAGTAGAAAGTGCAAGCAATTGAATTAGTTATGACTAGACCACTTGCAGCAAACTGATCAACAAGGTCATAAAATCCAAATTGTTGTCAAATCTAATATGAAGTTACTAGGGGATAGTGAAACTTACAGTAAATTGAGAATTAACACCTCGAAGATTTCTTGTTCCCATGATTCAGGAAACTGAAGAGGAAATGACCTTGTCTCATCTGGCCTAATTCCAGAAATGGCATCAAGAAATCCAGGAAGGAGGTTGTCACTTTCTTCTGTGTCCAAGTGAAATCCTGCAAAGAGAAACTGATAAGGTTCACTCACAGTGGTTAAAGACACTAAGTGAAGCTTACAAACGTAGGATTAGGAAATAAAACTCTACAAACTTCTCCATTTACCAGAAGCACCACTACAACATAAAGAATAGACGGATTACGTCAATGTCGTATATGATTGTATATAACCAGATGGAATTTTTTGGGCTTTTGATTCATCTTCCTCAACTGTTGTTGCAAATATATCAAGAACCACAAGATCATTAATCTATAAAATTACAAAACTAGAATTAAACCCCACCCAAAATTCGCTTTCTTTCAACTATATTCTACAAAAATATCAAATTGTATTTATACATTAATCTTTCAAAAGATTATAAATTGTAGACGGTGTAAACTTCCTTGGAGGAAAAGCTAGTAGCTAATAGCAGAAAGAGGCACAGGACCATGTACCACAAAACAGAAGGCTCACTACTAATCTAAATTGTCAAAATTTACCTGCAGGCCTCTATTGGTTACAAATTTCAGTGCTCTTGGAGACTTAATTATAACGCCGTGTAAAATGATGTTCTGACAAGAGAATGTTAAACTGGAAGATACATACCCAAGATGAAAGTTCAGATTGACCATTGATAGCTCTGGCATTAGCCCCAAAAGGTGGACTTCAGTTACTTGCATCCTTGGCCTTTAAAATGGATCCAGTTGTTAGGTTTATAAAGCATTGATTATGGTTCAACAGTTGTCACCTCAATGGTCAGTGAATCTTCTGAAATATCAACGACTTTTATTCAGAAAATATCAACCAGACCCATGATTTGTAATAAATGTGATTACTATATGGTATCAAATCATTTTACTCAAAGAAACAATAACTCACATGGAAATTTTCAGGGTAAAACTGATGCTAAAAACTGTATTTAGTAACATAACGCTTGCATGCATTCAAAATATGTTAAAAGTTGAAGACATCAGTAATCTACTGAAAATTTGTTACTAAACATCGAAGGAGATATTCCAAAATAATTTTTTTTATGGAATATGGAAGATATTTACTAGCAGCATGTATCCACATCACTCTTACTGAATCGCAGGAGCATCACATGAGTATAAAATGTGATATCTATTTCCATTTAAAAATTCATACAAACTCTACGCAGTACTGGGAATTAACGAAGAATGACATAACATTTACTTCTTGATTTTAAATGCTCTAAACTTACATTGGTTCTTCTGTTACTTATAATGATTGTCAAATGACCATTATATACAGAATAGTGTATCTAGCTATATTACTACCACATCATGTTAATGATATAGATGATTCACCAAGGTTGCAGCAAAACCACTGCCATTTCCGCATCGAGGGAGAAAACAAAATGAATTGTTTTAAGTAAAATACTCATCGCATGAACAAAAGATTTTCATCTCATATAAGGTTATTGTATAAGATTAAAAATGAAATTAATTATTATACCTCATGGCGCTTGTCTGGATCAACGTTGAGTTTTACAAGCATCAGTTCTCGTTCCACTTGTGGTTCCCTTGATAAATCGTCAACCTATAAAGTACATCAAAACCAAACGCTACATCAAGAAGGAATTATAAAAACAAGATAGAAGCATCGTCAATCTTTTAATTGTGAAATCCAGTGCCCTTTTTGGGCAATTAAATCAATGAACAACATTCTATCCCCAAGTCTCCTGCTTGAAGATGTAGATTAATTCATCACTGTTTGATGGTTGCACCCACAAGATGATGCCATCTATGAAAATGACATGATTTCTTACCAACCATCAGTTTGGATATGCAAAAAAGAGGGAAATTATAGACGCAAAGGGAAGCATAACAAGTAGGAATAATAGGATATCACCCATTCACTAATGAGGGATCATTTTCTACGTCCAGATATTACAGACGCAAAGGGAAATCACTATACTCACATACAAAATCATTGACCTCAAAGTTCAGAAAATATGGCTAATTATAACTAGGGACTATAATTCCTGACCTGTGTCCTAGTGATTTAAAGTTATGCCTGATTATGGAACTTGACATTTATCTTATGCATCAAGATAAAAATAACTTCAGTAAATTTTTGTGGTAGAAAATATGGAACTGTGCCAAGATTCAGAACCCCCAACAAAGAGAATATGAGCTTTTTTAACAGATATCTGAAATTTAAAGATAAAATTATGAAATCAATCTAATTTAGACAAAATAATGAAAAAAAATCATTTGAATTTGAGGATTTACCTTGTCAAGTAAAGAAGTAGAATTTTCAACCCTTTTAAAAGATCAACTGAGATAGCAAAGCCCTAATTTGTAAAATTGAATAAATATTTGGTAAATAGAGAAAATAGAAAAATTAAAACTTTAGGGCTTAAAGATAAAGTACTCACAGGGCAGCGGTTGGATTCAGGTTAAGAGAAGCGTCGGACGAGACGGAGTCGGGGAGAGTCGGCGAACGAGGGGAATTGGAGTGGAGGCGGGATGACTGCAAATTGAGGAGAGGTGGCGGACGAGGTCGGGATGGTTTGAGGAGAGGAGATGGTCCGAACAAGTGGAGGTGTTGGACGAGGGGAAGTGAAGGAGAGGCGGCGGACGGAGGGGTGTGAGGGAGCCGAGGAGAGAAGCGAAACGAGTTCGAGATGTTCGGCGGATGAGCGGGGTTTTGCTCCGTCGAGGAGAGGTGGCAGACGAAAGAGGAGATCGACAATCACGAGAAAAACCCTAGAGCTCAGCGAGGCGAAGTCGGGGATTTCAGGTTTGTTTTGATCGGGGATTTCAAGTTTGGGCGTCAAGCCCATATTAAAACCGTTCCATTAGCCCGTTACAAAATATTATTGCAAGTCTAATTCAAGCCCAACGTTTTAGTTTAAAACGTTGCCTTATACTCTCTTTGTGACAGTTAGAACCGTCACAAAACCGTTTCCTTAGGAAGCAAAGGGAACGGTTTTAAACCGCGCCCCACCAACCGTCCCCATAGACCCATTATGTGGTAGTGGGGCCTTCCAAGGAGGTATCATTAGGATGTAATCGGTATTTGGTTTTTATAGTTGGGGACTATTCTATTCAGGCATTTAGTTGCGTACTTACACTCTTAATTCCGATATTGCTTATTCTAAATAATGAGCAAACCTAGAATCCGTCGACAAGTTTAACACTATCATTTTTTGCTAATTTAGAGTTCATGTTAGATACTGGTTAGCATTAAGGTTAGAGTTAGGGTTTTGGTTAGGGTCAGAAATAGGGTTATGATTATTCACTAAACTTACATCTTTATAACCCTAACAAGAATTCTAATGGTTAGCGTTTTTTTTGCTAAGCTTAATCATAACTTTAGTCCTAGCTGTAATCCTAAACTTGATCCTATAACATTAAAAAATAACTTAACATTAGCAGATTATGATGTAACTCGTTGTTAGATTCTAACGTCGTTTATATAATTGAAATCAGTAATCTCAAGGTTAATATATTTGTGTTGATACACTAACTTCACTATCACTCTTGTAACTACACCATACTTCAGGGTATCAGAATGTAATTTATCCTTAAAGAAAACATCATTAATTTTTCGCTAGATTACCATAATTGATAGACATTAGTGTGAATTGACGTGATACATCCGTGACATATTTATTGTATTTGATCGTTATTTATGTTACATATTAATTATTCTCTCATCTTCTTTTCCTTCTTCGCTAGCTGTTAGGAGTATTCTAGACATTTTAACGTCATTAAACATAGTTATAGGGTATTTTCTACAAAATTGGACGCTTGTAATATTTTTCTTTATAGAAAAATAATTTATGATTTTTTTGGAAAACCCTAATAGTTCATGGTTGCTTTGTGAAATTTACCCAATTTTGTAACTGAAAATAAGAAATATGACACACTAATAGTCATTATGTAGTTTTCTCATAACTTGAGTTCATAACGCTCAACTTTCGCCACAATGCTAGAATTTTGCTATCGTTGCAGTGTCTTTGAAAACGACATTAGAGTAATCCAAATTCAAATACCAACCATGAGTTTTTAAAGATGATTTTAAAAAGACATCGCTCTGTGATTCTAGGTTTCAGTGCACGAAACGGAGCTCAAGCTACAAGTAGCAGGGGTATAATATTAGAGCATAAATTTATAACCCTCAATCGTCATCGCAAGTTTAGGAATTTGGTGCAGTGACAGAGACCTTTGACTTGGATACTGAAGTTTTATTTGCTACTCTCAAAGCAAATTTTTGCCACAAACTCCAATTTAACCAGTTATAACTCTAACCTTGACATTAGTTAAAACTTTTAAAATGTAATTTTTTTTTTTTTTTGTAATTTACTCTCTATTTTGCACTAGATGCGTTGGGAAATGTTACTTTCTCAACACGGTCATAAGTTGCTTAAGTGTGCTGTTGTTCGGATTGAGAGGACCTTGACATTACATAAGAGCTACTCCATGTGCAATATGTGGCTGGGGTAAGCCTTGGTACAGTAACAGGATTAAGGATTGCTGGCTTACACTGCCTACGTACGGTTGTAAAGGACGGATAATGTTCCCGGCCCCACATAAAAGGGGGGCTCTATAATTAGCGTCATAACCTTGGCACGATTTGGGAAGATTAAATTGATGGTTTAATGTCGATGTCATTTCTTTTTCGAAGAAGTGATGTCAACGTCACTTGCTAATTATAAAGGTTTTTTGTCCATGCCCTGGTTATTTCCACAGATTCCTCTCCGTGATGATGACGGTAAGACTTTAAGGTTCAAGTAATGGTTTTGAGCTAGCTTTGTCTATTGTACGACTATCCAATATTGATCCGAGGGAGGATAATTCGAAAAGGAAAATGATAGGGGCACACCCCCAACCACATCCCAAACCACACCTCATCTCTCATATGCTACAGTACGCCGGGCCCCGCATGGGATTTTAAAATTTTAAAATCCCATGCGGGGCCCGGTGTACTGTAGCACATGAGAGAGGGTGTGCGGTTTGGGATGTGGTTGGGGGTGTGCCCCTAGTGCCACCCATTCGAAAAATTAACAGACCGGACAAGATCGTTGGAAGGGTAAAAAGGTAATTTGATAAAAAAAAACCAGTCCTTTATTTTGTTTCCGGTACGTTCTGATCAGTATTTTGACATAAACATATAGATAGAATCCATATAATTAAATATTCATTTTAGACTGAAAAATGTGTATATATAAGAGAAAGATAAATTTCTTTTATGGAAGCATATTATCATGTACGTCTAAACACCAAAAAAGCCAAGGATGTTATGTATTACATTAGAATTCCATCCAAATTTTAATTAATAAAATCAAGATACAAATAAAAAAAAATAGCTAATCGAAACTAGGTTTATGGAAGTACTATCGTCCCATATACTATTAACTCAAATGCTAAATGATTGAGGTGGATTATAGACGATTACAAATTCAACTCTACAATTTAGTCTCACCTCAAATGCGGGAAATATTATTTCAATTGTATCTTTTAGATACAAGTTTATTCCCTTAAGTTGTACTAATTGCCGTGAGCGAGGAAACAAATAGGAATATTTAAACAATATATATAATTCCTCTAGTTACTCTCAAAACTGTTCTTAATTTTCATATTGAACTAATTAATTCGATAAGTTGGGTTTTTTCGAACGTGCATTATGCACCCGCATGTGATCTAGTGGCCATATAGTGCGGGTTCCATTGTTGATGATGTATTCGTCCCATTAGTCTTAAAAAACAATTATGCGCTCTCCCTTGAGCGCATGCGTGACCCCTGAATGTAACCTTAAGTACAAAGACGCTCTCTTTCTTTAAAACTAGTGTGCACCACGACCCTCGATCTATATTTTTAAGCATTGTATTTTAAATTTATTTTCTTCTAAATTTTAATATATTTAATTTAGTTATCGTATGCTAAAAATTAGAACTCATATCTGCTCATCTATGCTTAAAGAATGATCCAGGTTTTAATACATTTTTTGATTTAAACAATGTATTCAGTTTGATCTCTCAAATGCTTTGAGATCTTGATGTATATACATTTCTCTCATTGGTACATGAATAAAAATTTTCATTGACAAATATATATATATATATATATATATATATATATATATTTGTCAATGAAAATTTTTATTCATGTACCAATGAGAGAAATGTATATACATCAAGATCTCAAAGCATTTGAGAGATCAAACTGAATACATTGATTACAGAGACTTCAAGAACTCTTCAAGAACTGACAGGTTTCATAAATCTTGCAACCAGTCCCGATACTCCTCCTGAATTTGTGAATTGAGAACAACAGATAGCATGTCCATCTTAATTCTCTTAATCAATTGAGCAGCAGATCTTTGTTCCTGTTGAAAGATTCTGAGATTTCTCTCAGACCAGATATTGTAGATAGCAACCGTCAATGCCATTCTTTTGATTTCCTGTTTGAATCCTTTTCCTCTTAACTTTGTACAAAACCACTCCAAGATAAGATCCCACTCGCACGATTTCCAAAAATGAAGCCAACACATTATGCCATTCCAGACCTCAGAAGAATAATTACAGGAAAAGAAAAGATGGTTCCTGTTTTCCAGTTCAGCTCCTGAGCATAAACAGCATGAACCGACATTTGTTAACCCTCTCTTCATCAGTCTGTCTTTAGTAAGTAATTTGTTCAAGACAGCAAGCCAACTAATAAATGAATGTTTAGGATAGCACAATTGATCCCAAACAGTATAATGCCATGGCACTTGCTGAGTAACTGGTAACAAATCATGGTATAAGACTGAGATATGAAATTTTAGTATAATGCCATGGCACTTGCTGAGTAACTGGTAACAAATCATGGTATAAGACTGAGATATGAAATTTTGTGTTCCTGTAGCAAGTATTCAAGAGTAACTGGTAACAAATCATGGTATAAGACTGAGATATGAAATTTTGTGTTCCTGTAGCAAGTATTCAACAATTGTAACAGATTATTGATCCCACCACAAGAAAGAGCAGCTCTATCTCTTGCTTTGATCATTTGCTTCTACATCCAGGAGTCACTACTTTTAGCAATCACATGCCATATATCATTACGTCTCAAGTAAGTCCCATGAACCCACTTGATCCAAAGAGACTCCTTATTTGAATGGATTTGCCATAGGATTTTTAAGGTTGCTGCCAAATTCCAGGATGTGGCAGAGTAAACACCTAAACCTCTCCTCTTTCTATCCATACAAACATTTATCCAAGCAACAAGAGGCATTTTAGAGAACTGAATGGTTTTCCCCCATATTTATTGTTTATATATGATACAGTAAAATATTGTAGCATGAATAATAACTTCAAGTATGGAGGAGTTGATTTGAATTACAGTTTATACTACACTAAATTACTATAGTATAAACATTAACTTCGACCGTAGAGGATTAGATTTGATTTACTGTAGTATTTACTGTAACATAAACGGTAAGTCTTTGACTTCTACTAGAGGAGTAGATACTTTGGAATTTTTTGGGACTAGAGTAATAAAATATGTTACACCGACAGGGCACTTCAGCTTTCTCGATATGATGCACTATATATATTTTGCATAAACTTAAAATACACAAAAGGCTGAAGACACACATATTGTGTGGATTTAACCACTGAGCAAAACCTTTCCAGAAGAGGAAATAATAGCAATAAGAAAATAGCTGGTCCTGATCTCATCAATCATCATTTACCTGTTGTACACAAACTTGCTCATCTCTCCACACATTAACATAATATTTTCAGAAGATTCTGGTGCTGCCCTCCTCATTCTCAATCTGATAATCAATCAGCGAGGACCTCCTTTTCCTCGAAGCGAGAGCAAAGAAAAATGGGGACTAGCTCGCTTGTAGGGGTCCCCTTAATTAAGCAACTGGAACGTACTGCTAGCTAGCTTGCCTCTCTTTAGCCCTCTCTGAACTCTTTCCTAACATTTACATCCTCTCCTAGCTCTATAATAAATTGAAAAAAAAAAATCTTGTAAAGCCCTTGTAATAGAAAAGTATATAGGGAAGAAGGAGAAACTTACATATGCATGTGTTCTACCAATTTAAGTTGGTATTTACGTTGAATTATATGTTGTTTGTATAATTTTCTAAACTTTTGTTCATCTCACATACCCCCCGGCCCACCCTCAAATAGGACGACTCACAAAATCCTCATGAATTTGGAGCTTTTGTCACCGGGCCTCCTGCATGTACGTAGCTTTTAAACAACTAAAATTTTCTTGAGAGGAAAAATCCAAAAATATTTTCCATTTGTCATTTACAGATAATTAAGATCCAGCCTCTCCTAAAAATATTTTTTGAGAGACACGCCACTGTTTGCATCCGCTTTAGCTATATTCATTGATTTTATATGTATTTGTCTGAATCGCTAAAAGATGACAACAAGTTTAGCAACGAGCGTCTCATTTTACTTACTCCCTGTATGATTTTTTCTATAGTGCGCCCTCCAGTATACATTTTTCTTCCATTCATTCTTTTCCTGCGTCCTCCGTGAAAATGGTCCCATTACGGCATACCCCCATCCGCTAACACATGTCACTTTGTCCTCCGTCAAATGAAGCAAGTTTTAACTCGACCCGCGTGTAGACGTTTTTAGGTGTCGCAGCCCGGCCAGCTTCAGAAACGGCAAATATTGACAGCCAATTGCTAGCAGATGTTGTGTGCATTGCAGAGATGTGGGAGCTTTTTTTTTTGACTGACCGAGAGAGAGAGAGAGAGGGAGGGCATCTTTTGGACGAACAATATCGCTGTGGATAAAAGTTTGTTCGGGCTAGAGACCAGGAGTGCGTTCGCTTTGCACGGGACCTGTTGCGTGTCAACGTGTAGTTGGGCTTTATACACATTATAATGAGATTTTTTTTTTATTATTTAAGATTTTTAGCTGGACATATATAATTATGGATTATTTGTGGAGGTTATCGATATAATGGATAAGCCAAAAGCCTCGCCTCGCCCCCACAACCAAACAACCAAAGACGGTCCTGGGGCGGGGTCACTCCAAACATGATTTGACCACCCCCCTTTGTCCCATGGGCACTCATGGGATGCGGATGAGGCTCACATGCTAAGTAGTTTCTAGCTACTGTTACTAAAAGTTAGCACAAACGAGTACCCAATCATGGTAATGAGAGGATAAGGATCATTGATTGATTTCTTGACTGACCGTGAGAGCGGGTCGGGGGGGCGACTAAGTTAGCTAGCTCACCTACCGAGTGAGTCTGGTTGTGTCCAAATTAAGCGCCGTACTTGTTAAATATCTAGGGCCTAGGGGGTAAAGAAACAAGTGGGTAAGATAAAATAACGAGTTATAAAGAGCGTGTTGAAAGGAGCGCGCGCGCGCATGCTTTGTGTTTGATTCCACCCCCCCCCATCACATGCCTAAACCCCCTCTCTCTCTCCCGTCTACCTAGCTCTTCACCTTTGGTCCTTTGGACTAATAATCAAAAGTAAAGGGAGAGCTAGCCTTAATTAAAACTTTAATCAAGGAGGAGTGCCATGCTTATCCCAGACACCTCCAGCCTCTGCTTCCCAAATTCCAACTCTGACATTGCCATTAGAATTAAGCAAGCCCCGTGGTTAACTATACGAAATGGTATAGCTCCCCGTGTCGATCTCCCTCAAGATCTAGGATTAACGCTTGGCTGAGCGCACTGCGGCGATCAAAGCATCTTGAGCTACGCGTCATCCACACTTGCTGGACAAGTTGCAAGAATTTTATATCGTACGTGGAAAAAAAATGTTGCGCGCAGCGGAAATTTCGGCAGCACAACAAGAGAGTCAGGTCGCAATAGGAATTCCTGTTTCACAAAGGAAACAAGAACCTTAAGCAAAATATCTCAACCAAGTGAGATATCAGCTCTTCCTCTCATCAGTTCTAGGACTGACATGTCGGGGAACCTAAATAAGTTATTACAAATCACACAAATAGCGAGACAACCAATTTTACGTGGTTCGGCAAATAGCCCACGTCCAAGGGGAGAGGATGGGGAGATTCCACTAAATCAAGGAGAGTACAAAGGGTTACAATCTCACAAAACTCACAAACTAACCCTCAACCAAAGCTCTCAACTTGCTCACAATATCTCCCTCTCTCAATGCTCAAAAGTCTCTCTAATATCTGATTACAATTCTCCTCTCTTTGATGAATGATTCTAATCTCCATATATATAGAAAAACTAAAACCAAAACAGACTAGGAATCCTAAAACCAAAAACAATATATATAGAAAAACTAAAACCAAAACAGACTAGGAATCCTAAAACCAAAAACAAAACAAATTAGGAATCCTAATAACCTCATGTTACCAAAATAGATTAGGAATCCTAAAAGATTAGGAATACTGCTATCCAACAAAAAAACACAAGCTTTTTGATGCACACCCGCTCTGCAGGAGGGGTGATGCTTCTTTTGGAAACTGGTCACGTACGTTTGAGAGCCTCAATTCTATCTGAAAAAATTAAATCGACGCGTAAATGGATGGTTCTCTTTGATTTGGACATGGGAAAAATAGAGAGGCGGGCGGGTAAATTTGCCCTCCACATTGTATCGATGAGAATCGCGCGCTCACACGTGGACGGTTTTGATCGAATTTGTATTTTGCCTTTCCTTGTAATCAACTTCACAAGTCTTTGAATTGATTCTCATCTCGGTTTATCTTAGAAGTTGCACATTCAAGACTTAACTACCATAAGTTCCTATAAATATGAATTTCAACCCTAAGCAAACATGTAAATAATCAATTCCCAATCTTGTAGAGCTTAGGACAAGGTGTCAAGCCAAAGTTAGACAAACCAAGTCAATTTCTTATGCTAAAAAGTTCATGACAAGGGCTTTGAGCGTGCGATTTGGGACTTGTAGCTTGCTGAGGATTCACCAAACTAGGGTATTGCTGGCCCTAAAGCCTAGCCACAATTCATGCCACATTTTAGGGAAATCAAGTCAGATCACATCGAGGTCATTAAATATGGTTGAGTGTTTTGATTTGCATGCTCTCAATTTTAGACCTTTTTTATTTTATTTAGGAGTTTATTAGGGTTTTCCTCAATGGGGCATTTGTATTGGTTGGGGACCCTAGAGAGTAGTGAGAGAGTGAGGGAAAGCATCCCCATTGAAAAGACTACAGCCATCCAATTAAAGCGGCTGTTAGAAAAAAAAAAAAAAAGATGCTTAAGGGCTACGTCAAATCTTTGAGCGGAAGTTAATTAATCAAGTGGTTAGGTGATTAAGCATGATTAACTATGATTAAAATGAGCATTAAGACAGGTGAAACTGATCCCGTGACGAAACGTGTCCTTTGTCTGCCTCCTCTCGTTGTCATCTTTTACACGAACTCCGAGCTGGTTCAATTTTTTTTTAGTTTCTTTCACTTTGAGATTCTTGAGAACAACGTGAAGCATGATTCTTTCCAAAAGCTCGTATCCCTAAAGTTTTTTTTCAGTTGTTACTATTATTTTTTTCCAGAAGGATGTGAGTCATGTGACTTATGGCATGACGACTGGGTTCAATACTTCAATGTCATTCAAGCTTATGTTTCTTTCTTTCTTTTTTTTTCTTCTTCTTTTTTTGGGGGTATGGTTGGCAAAATTAGGCTAGAATTAATCAAAGTCTTAACCTAATTTTATTCTAAATTAGTTTTTTAAGTTCAAATTAGTTGAGGGGTGGTCCACATTAAAATTAGGTTAGTGATTATTTTTCTGCTAAAAAAAACTGGACCAACCTTGGACCCTTTTTTTGCCAAACAAAAAAATCACCCAAAACTGGCTCAGGTTTAGTCTTGACCTAGTTTTGGAGGGCTGCCAAATAAACACTTCGAACACATTGTTATTCGAGCAGATTCCTTGTTTAATCAGGAGATATGTTTTTTATAGTCGGAAGGTTTTCGTTTGGTTCACTGAAACTGTAATCGCAATACGTGTTTCATTTCGTACGTGTTCATTTTGTACGCAACTGAGATGATGTAACTGACGTAGCACGCAACTGCAGCAGCTACAACTGTCTGTGCAGCTTCCTTTAAAAATCTATAGTTTGCGTTAGGACTTGTACTCTGCAGATCGATGTTGTTTTGATTTTCACACTTTTCGAACTTTCCATTGATTTGTTATAAATAGGGTTAATTGCAACTTAAAACCTTATCTACAACTCAAAAAGAGCTCGACTACTTCTTGTACGTACTTGCGTCTGTGCAAGTCGTCAGCTAAACAAACTAAAGATTTCATCACACTTTGTAGCGCGCGGCAGCTGCATTTATTTGTTACAGCAGATTGTCGTCAGCTCTAACTGATCCAAAATATTACAGTTTCATACAACTATAGCTACAATATCCCTCCCAATTGCACGGAGCAAAACAATTCTTGTTGCGAGCCAACTCCAACGAGGTAACTATTTTTGAGCTGCAGCGGGGGTGGAACAGGGGGGGTCAAGCTTCTACTGTAATTCGTTTTTGCTCGCTCGCGGGGGAGCATGTGAAGTCACTTTCCTCGTAAAGTTTGCGACGTAACGATCGATTGCGTTGCGCCGTTAATTCAATATTATTATTATTTTACTTCCCTTGATCTTTAGTTCGCTTGTAATCATGCTCCTACTTAACTAGGGTCTAGTGAACTAGGGCCAGGTTTAAGGCCCATAACTAATAACTTCACCGGTAATAATACGTAAACTATTGTAAATAATAAAGCCAGTAAAATCAGAATTCTATAATTTAGTACAAGGCTCAGTACGAATACTGCAAAACTCATTGCGGTTGTCAATTTTGGAATCGATGATTTAACAGACTGTAGTTTTTTTTTTTTACCGCCTTCCAGAATGATTTTCGATAGAGGGGCCTGTACGTGATTGCTAGTCAGAAATAACAAGATTCGTGTACTAGCAGAAGTAAGTACCGATTAAAGCCTACCCCATGCTAAAAAAAAAAAACATGGCCGCTTTAGCTGGGCCTAATCAGGCCCGTCAATTTGGTTCCCCAAAATAATGATGCTAATATTTATTTTAAGGTTAATTCCGCATAAACCCCTAAGCTTTAGGGTCTTGTCACGTAACACCGTGAACTTTGTTTATCTCAACCCTCTTGAACGTTGGGTTGTTTCACAAATTTCTTCTAAATTTCGGGGTGCCTCAAAAAACCCGAATGAACTTTGGGAAGTCTCGCAAAACCGTCACGAACACTAATCCTTTCTCATCATACTACCTACAATTAATGATTAAGATATCCGTGAGATATTATTAATTTAGCTGGCTGAATTACTGTTATGATTAACAGTAATTCATCCTTTTTCTCAAAAAAAAGATATCCGTGAGAGAAAACAATTAATCTCCGGTTTTGACATTTGTCATGTATAGACCAGGTACCCTATTCACCTATATTTTGGATTTTTCTAAATTGAATTTTATTTATTTGCGAATTATATGAAGAGACTTCTTGTGAGAAAAGTTAAGTTTAAGGAACTTTGTTAGACACTAATTACAAAGTTCAAAGGGGTCGTATGAGATAAACAATTCAGGGGTTTATGTAGGTCCAAAGTTCAGAGGTTTTTATGTGAAATTACCCCCCTTATTTTAAAACAACAAACTTTCGATCACGTCATTCCCGGAAAATTGCTTCTTTCTTGTTCATGTTTTTATGAACTGGAAATGGGACCTAGAGTTCATAATTAAATTCTAACAAAGCAGTCTGTAAATCAAGCGTGACAATCGTTGGTTTGGACAAAAAACCTTACTTATGTTTGGGGAAAAAAGGACAAATTTTCAAAACCATCCGGTTTTAAAATTTATTCCCAAAAAAAGATCATTTTCAACTTTAAT